ACTAATCATTGTGGTTCCTGCAATCAGCTTCTTGGCTGTGACACATTTCTGCTTTTTCAGATCGCAAGCCGGTGGCGACCCACCTCCCCCTGGCCTACTCCCGCGGCTCCCCACAGGACGAGGAGCAGCTTCTGACAGCATTGGAGGAATTCGCCCAAAAGTTCAAGCCTTAATGAATGGAAAAACTCCCCTGCTTTTTCAAATAAAAGCACTCCAAAAACGCTAAACTGTTTACAAAATCATACTTTCACTTACTAATGAAACATGTTGGACTTAAACAGCAGAGATTCTAATGTCATTAAGGATAAATCCAGAAAGCATTTTCTGGATTAATTACCTTTTTTAAGGTTTTATGAAGCTTTTTTAAGATATACTGGAAAGAAGGTTTTGTTGCACATTAATTTAATCAAGCTAATGAACAATATATTATCTGTAATGTGTACACATATACTGATTTTTGATTTTGTAAAATAAAATATTAAATGTTATTAAACTCATACATTTTCTGTTTAAGTTGTAACACCTTTAACTTTTAAAAGTCATTGTATTTCTTATTTGACAGATTTAGCATTAAGTAATAAATAGAGGACTCACAGTGATAAATCAAAATTTGAAAATTGTTATAAATATAAAACAGTCTTAGTCCTATTAGTTTGGCCCCTAAAATTTCCCTTAAGAGGTAATTCAGTCTGCAGGAGAGGAAAGATGGAGATAATGGAAAATCTGTTTACTCTCCAGATAGTATAGGTTAACCAGGCTGTGCTGTCCAGATAACCTGACTAATGCTATATGTTGCTTCTTTACCATAGCGCTCCTTTAAAACCTGTTGGTATTAAATACCAGACATGATTCTCTTTGGAAAAAAAAAAAAAAACACCTTACGCTTTGGGGCTAGTAAATTCTTTTTAAGATGTCTATAGATAAAACACAAACTGGTTGGCAACTCAAAAAAAAAAAAAAACTGATATGTATAAAAATCTCCAACCTTTAACTTCGAGCAAACATGTCTTACTTGGACTGGTAAACAGCAGCAGTGCAGCTATTAGCATCCGTGCCGTCCATACCTTGAGCGTTAGTTTTATACCAATAGGGCAGCATCAAGACTTCTCATTTAACAATTTAGATCCTTATCCAAATGGACGTACACACACACACATGTATATACATATATATATATATATGTATGTATATATACACAGATATATATATGTGTGTGTGTGTATATATATATCTATATATATACACACACACACATATATATGTTCAGGTTTAAAAAAAATCTTTCATTATATTGAATTTTTTTTTTAATGAGTTTTAAACAACCAGTTTTTCCTTTTTTTGTTTTTTTGACGCTTGTCTAGCGCCCTCTGGTGGCCTCCAATGTGAAATCCACAGTTTTACTGAAGGTGGCCAAGAGAAAATAACTAAACAGAAGGAGACTGCTCTTTATTATCATGGTTAACACACCTTATACCCTTTCTTTACAGCATTATTATCAATAATCTTTGGAAAGTATTTCAGCTGAGAATTACACATACAGCATTGAAGCACATTTAATACAATATAGGTGGAAAAATGTTTTCTTTTGCTCCTTGATTCCAGTGCATTAAGATTAAGTCTAACTCACAAAAAGTAAAAAATAAAAACACGTTAGCTTTAGCAAAGATTTCTGCTCTGGTGCTTCTGAAATGCCACATTATTTAGCTGTGTTATGTACTTCTGTAAGTGTTCCACATATGAAATAAACAATAAATAATCACATGAAACTGCTGGAAAAACAGAAAGTTATTAATCTGATACTCAGTTAGCAGCCTGCATGGTTTTAATCACTTATTACACAGCATGACACATTGTGAGCCTGATGAGCGACCTGTGATGTCACTAAATAACCATTTAAACTGGCTTCATATGAGGAACTGAACAGATTCTCTAAACCTATCCATTTATTTAAAAAAACGTCCGAAAAAGGTGATGCTACACTAATGCAGTACAAACAAAAAAGGTCTTGATTAGCTGCACTTTAACACTAAATTTCAAAATCAGAAAGAAGTTGAATCTGAGAGTGGAATTTTTGTTTGAGATTAAATCGTGTTAAAACAGAATTTAAATACTGTGTTCAGGATGAACCAGTCTCATAAAAATGAATGCAGAATGCATCTGGCTAATTATCCAAAATATGATTTAGCTTCCACTTGGGGAGAAAAAAAAAGATCAAAACCAAAATAAAAATGCTGCCTGCTTGATTAATAATGAGGCTGATAAATTAATTGACTTTGAGTAGTGAGGGACCCATAATTGGTGCTGGGTATGGGCAAAATGGCTCGCTACCCAGGGTGGCATGATGTGAGGGCAGCAGAAGAGTCTGGAAAAAGAAAAAAAAAAAAAGTCCATATATCAGGGGAGTAGGCATCCGCTGTGGTAAGCACAGTGCTGTTCGGGATTAACTCCTGCAATAGGATGCAGAATCTCATTCTCAAAATTAACAGACTTTTTCTATTTGTTGCTTTTTATAAATCTGGACTGAATTTAATCACAAATACTAAACTTCAACTGGATTATTAAACCCAACTAGGGGAACTAAAAGGCAGAATTATTGCCACAAACTCAGTGTTAAGTAGTAAGAGAAATTATTCATAATCCAGTTTGTTTAACTTAAAGAAAAACACGTCAGCAGATTATAGGAGCTAGTCTGACCTCTGCTTTGGTTAAGTTTCATCGTTTATGTTTGGGAAACCAAAAGTCTGTGATATAATACTAAAAATAATAAAAAGAAATGTTTAACATTTACAAGAGTAAAAGTAATAAAAATGGCTGTAAACAGTAGGAGGCTCCACTTAGAGAAGACTTTGATTATGAATGATCAGGCACCTGGTTCTGTCCTCCATGAATACACTCAATAATAATGCAATATTAACTAAACCTCATGCTTTAGTTATGTTTTGCTTTTTTTTTTTTTACATTTGGATATTTTTCCTAAATAAATGATGTAACAGAAATAAAACCATATTTTGCCACTAGGGGGCGACATTTCCCAGGCTTGAACTCCTGCTGACAGTATTCTTATTTTGTCAATAATAAAATAAAATAAAAACTTGGTGTGAAAAATAGGCAGGTCCCTCATATCATGTTAGTGGGTTAAGAGTCCAATGAGGTTCTTATGCACAAAACAAATCTGAAGTTTAGTCGCTCCAGTCTTCAATAGCAGGGAATTACAGAATATATCACATTTTTTACAGTCAAAAGTCCCAGAAGTATCCCAGAGTACAGAGTATGGGTACTCTAGATGACAAAATCCACCATCCAGTCTGTAACCGTGTGTTCAGCCTGTACTGGTCCCAAGCTTCATGGACTTGCAGTGTCAAAACCGTGAATGCAAAATATAAACCAGTGTTAAATATGATCCAGGTGAAATGGACGCTGTTCCCTCTCCTTCATCAAAACGCCACCGCTGTTGTGACACCGTCACAGTTTGCAGAAATGCTGCTTGTCCACGGAAACTCAGGACACCACAGGAGTCATGTCCCATATCTGCAGAAAAACACAAAAATACCTTTGACTGAATGAAGATGACCGTCATTAGACATGAATCAATTAGAGGGAAGCTAAAGCCTCCGATCAGAAACATCCTTCTGACAGGAGGGATTTCTAAAAGTCCTGAGAGAAACTGGTGACTCTTAAAATGGCCGCCACAGGTTAACTCTGAATGAATCAGAATTAGGTATAAACACAGTCTACAGTTGACCTGGAAAGATGGAGCAAGGGAAACACACCTACCATTGACATTTGATTTTTTTTTTTTTTTTTTTTACTTTTCTATTTTTGAACAATGAGAGATTAACAAACACGATTAAACCAAAATGAAGCAAGAATTGAATAAAAAGCTTGAATTTTTCCATGATTCTCTGTCATCCTGCTTCAAATAATAGATACAGGCTACAACACATGCATTAAACCCCAGTAATCACTGCATAGTTTTCCTTTAGCAAGGAGAGATTCAATAAACCTGCAAAGCTTCAGTTGAGATTTCAAATAAAACTTGCTGCTTTCCTGATAAAAGCTAATTTTGTATCATTGTTTTCATGAGTTGAAACCAGGCAGAGGTTCAGGAAGTTTAACTTAAGCCTGAGAAACGTCTGTTTGGGATTTTATTGTTTCCGCCACCTGAACGAAGCTGTTACCACCAGATCGAAAGGAAACAAGCTAAGATGTCTGAGAAGAAATTAGGACTCAGCAAGGCTTAATCTGATCATAAAGTGATGTTTGGACAGCTGTGTCTATGAAGTCAGTTTAAAACCTGTAAATTGGACTTAAATTTACTGATGCCTCTAATATCTTTTGGGAAAAGAAAATTTAGATGAAAAAAATTGAGCAATTTGATCACAATGGTGAGAAGTTGGTAAAAAAAAAAAACTTTTAAAGATAAAAGGCTTCCCCAGGCTGCACCTACTGCCAAGCAGCATTAAGCATCTGAATGTGGGGATATGGGGAGCGGTGGCCTAGTGGTTAGGGCATAGAGCACGGGGAACCAATTAACAATCAGCAGGTCCGAATAAAGAAAATCGACCAGTAAAATTCCAGAGACACTTTTAATTATTAATTATAATCTGTTACTTTAAAGAGAATTTAACACTGAAATAAAATGAGGTGTTTATGTATCAATGTTACACATTGAATTTAAAAAAAAAAAAAGAAAATTTTTTCCATTTTAAAATCTAAAGCGTTTTTTTTTTTTTAAGTAGAGAACAACAATCTTTCAGTTTGGTATATAGACAATTTCCTAATTCACATATTTTATAAAACACCTGAAATGATCGTTTGTTTTTGTTTTATTTCTTTTATTTTTCTGGCTTAATGAGTAGTGGGTTTTTAGCCTGTCCTGCAAGGCTTTTAAACCTTGCAGGTCTCCATTCAAACCTGGGTTTGAATGGAGACAAAGCCATTCTAAAGCTCATATCAAGGTGCTCATTTTGAGCCTGGATCCATGTTTATTTTTATGTTCATGGTGGAGAATCCTGCTTCACAGCAATAGGTTGAGCCAAATAATACTCAAAATGTGCAGGGTCACCTTTGAGCACGCCATTTCACTTTTCTTTCACCAGTTCACCTCAGTTCTTCCAGCAGTCCACACTTTCTCTGCTTTCTTTCTCTCATCATCTTCTCCTTCTTTCCCATCGCCCGGCTTGTCACAGGTTTGCCTGCTGTGTCTAAAAGTAGCAGCAGCAGCAACCCAGACTGACAGCAGCTCATTGGCTAACATTTGTACCTGGTCCCGGGCGCTCCGGAGGGCTTTACCATAATAACAGGAGAAGCTGCGCAGTTAGACACTGTCGTCAGACAACATGCGGTCATTTATAAATGTTTTAAATCTGGTTGGCCAGCAGGTGAGTCTGGATCCGGACCGCGATCTGCTAATCTGTGACCTCTGGCACGGAGCTTGGAATCCTGAGGTTGTGAGTTTGAAATCCACTCCCACAGAGCGCCACTCTGGCCCTCTGAGCAAGACCCTTAACCCCCAATTGCTCCTTGGGCGTCTGACGATGGCAGCCTACTGCTCCCCAAAGGGGATGGGTTAAATGCAAAGGTTAATTTCTCCAATGTGAGATCAATTAAGTTTAATTATTGTTATTTTCTGTCACTGGCTCTTTGCACACATTAGATTATAATAAAAAGAGGCTTGAAGACTTTTTTATTTAAGCAAGCCTATTCTGCCTCCACATGATTTTTATGATGTTGATTTTTATCTTTGATTTTATTTGCACTGTGTAGCACTTTGAGATTTTTGTTAATGAAAAGTGCGGTTCAAATTGGATTGATTATTATTATTATTATTATTAATATAAACTATTACAATAAAGGGGAAAAAAATCCAAAATTCTTTAGCTTAAATTCAAATGAAGATTTGGATGATTGACACTTAGACACAGGAGGTTTTTCTAACAGGATGATGATTCCAATCAGTACTTATTTAAAGGTACACTATGCAACCGGTGTTGATTTTCCAGCGAGGCTCCCCCCAGAGGGCGAAAGTAAAAGTGCAC